CCCTCCGCCGCCGGGGCCGGGGCCGCCCGCGATTGCTCAAGCGGCGGGGGAGGGAGCGGGGAGGGGGCGGCGCTGGAGGCTGGAGCGGGGCCTGGGGCGCCCCGCAAAGCGGCTCCGGCCCCTCCGTCACCCTCGGTTCCTTCTTTACCTTTTGCCTTCCTTCTTTCCTTTCTCTTTCCTTTCTCTTTCTCGTCCTTCTTCAAAGCCAAGCGTCGCGCACGTTCCCAGGGGGGCCCTGCTCAGGGCTCCCTTCCCGCTAACGCAACGCGGGCACCCAAGGCTCCCGCTTCTGGGAGACGGGATAAGAATCCCGGGGGCGGCGGCACCGCCCGCAGCCCCCGCGGCAGCTCTGCTGCCTCCCAGTGCAAAGATCCGCACAGGAAGGTCTGTAGGATCCATAAACCTGTAAAGATTGTGCAGGAAGAAGTGACGAACGGCCCTGGTTCCTGCCCCCCGCAGCGCCGGGCCGCCCCGCTGGGTCTCGCTGCCCTTTCCCACCCTGCCCAGGCGCCTCCTTGCCCGGCACCTCGGCCCTTGTTCCTGCCCCTGCTCCCTTCCCAGGGGCTCTCCCTTAAGGAGAGCCCAAGCCCAGCAGTCCTGGCTTCCACATTCCAGTTGCTCCCGGAGGATTTCAGCGGTTGGGAAATGGAGGTACCAGAGGGAAGAGGAGGGATGCATCGCCCCAGTGGATTAAACTCCCCGGCCAATCCCAGCAGGTAAATGCAAACGTAAACCTTAAGGCGATAACTGGATTTTCCCATTTCAGGTGGGGTTTATCCCATGGGGGAAACGCGGCACTGGGGCCGGCTCTCCTCCTTCGGCGCAGGGCTGCGGTTTGGGGCGCTGCCTGTCCCTGGCCCGACACCCCCGGCTCGCAGCATCACGCCTGCCCTCCCTTATCCCGCTTCCCATTCCTGGGACAGCCCCGCGCATCCCGGCGGGTCCAGGGCTGCCCAGTGTGCGACGAGAGCTCCCGTTATCCACGGGCCAGATGAGGGAAGGAAGGAGGCTCATCCCGCGCTTGGAGGAGTCACCGCCACCTCTCTATCTGCCAGCCATTTATTCCTAATATGGCTCTAAAATCCACTTGTTGGCAAACGAGAGCCTCCTGCCGCGGCGTCCCCGCTAGGATGTTCCCGAGGATTTGAGGTAGGATTTCCCAGGCCTTAACAAAACGCCGCAAATTCTGTTCAGCGCGACGCGGTGCGGAGAGCGTGGGGAAAAGGGCCCTTTTTCCCAAAAGGGGCTTCCCGTCCTTCCCGTGCTCCTGCAGCCCAGGACACTCCTGCGATCCCGGGCCGAGGCTTCCACCCAGCTGTCGCTCCAAGATGTATTTATTGACACATGAAATACCCCATCTCCCAAAAGATTATCCATGAAACCATGTAATCTGCAGGGAAAAACAACAGCAAAAAAAACCCAAACCTGGGCTCTATGCCTGGAAAAAGGAGAAAAAACCCACACACAACAAAACCCCTCCCACATATCACAAACATTCCCTCCAAGAAAACCGAGGAAGAGAGAACAATCCAAAGGGAGGAGCTGGGAGAACAAAGAGGTCCTGAGCAGCATGGAAATATGGAAATTGGTCGTCAGCCGCGTGAGAACCAGGGGCATCTTCGGGGAGCCTCCAACAACAGCATCGCCGGAGCTCCAACAATTCTGCCTGTAGTTCCTTCCAGATTAAGGCATGGGACAGAGACCAAGGATGATGCGGCCAACCTTTACAGCCTTAGAAGTCTCGGAGAATTTATGGCCCGCAGGAACAGTTAGATCATCCGCGATGAGTCCACGTGCGTTGCAGGTCACTGCGTTTCACCCCGGTGCTCCCAGGTGGAGCCCAGAAACGTCTCTCTGGAGAGGAAAGCGCTTCCAGGAAGGCTCCAGCTCTGGTTCAGACACAGGGTGAGGAACCCCCAGGTCCTTCGCTGGCCTGGGGTACCCCAGGGTCTCTCTCACCGTGTACAGGGGTTGGTTGTCGGCCTCAGGCCGCTGCCTCTCACTCTGCCTCCTTGTGTCCAGCAAACCCTTCAGCTCATGCATTCCCTTATCTTCCGTAGAGTTTCTTACACATTTTCAGCTCCCACCTGGTCTTTCACGCACGTTCCTGATGTTCCTGCGTTGGCGTGCGGAGCAGCGCGTCCCTTGTTTTGCAGTGAAGACGGGATGCTCAGGCCCTGACCAAGCGTCCCCCCTGCCAGCCTCTCCCCAAGCTGCAGTGTCCGTGCCCCAGCCTCGCAATGACCCTGCACCTCGGGGCCGAGCTGGAAACCTTCCGTCACCCCCGGACTCCTAAGATCCGCAGGGAACGCGCGGCTCACGGGATCAGCAACGGCTTGGGGTGAAGCTGTTAGTCACTAGCTCAAGCCCAGAGCTGGGGGCAAGAACACCCCCTAGACCTGCTGAAAAGGGACACGCTCCTTCACACAGCCGGAGATTCACGCACCTTTCCGAGAGGCAGGAGGCGCGTGTCCACCCGCGGGACGCGCAGCCCGGAGCAGCTGGCAACGTGGCACGGCCACGCGCGGACACACGGAGCCGCGGCGGCCCCGGCGGCACTTCCATGATCCACATTCCCAGCACAGGCCCGTCGGGCACTTCCACGTGGGCGGCCCTCGGGCCAGACTCTCGGAGCTGTCGGGACTCAGCGGGGCCAGGTGCTGGAATCCGCACTGGGACGTTCCTGGTGCACGGATGGGCTGGGATACGATGGGCAGAGAGACCCCTTTGCACTTCTGCATTGGGGAATGCATTGAAAACACGCGGGAAAGCAACCAAATTCCTCCTCCTGTGGAGAGGCACCTTGTGGACACTCCGGATGACTTATCGGTCACCCTGCCTCCATGCCCAAATGCTGCTGTCCCCTCGATCTCCTCCCTGTCTGTGTCACCCAGCTTCCTATTGAAGACTACAATCTCGGTGGTGACCATCTCCTGATACTGCACTTACCTTGTACCTAATACCGGGGTATCCATTCCCTGGGAAGGGCTTCTAGACATGGTTGTGATACAAAACATTGGAATACACTTGATTAGCTTATCCTTGATTAGCTTAAACCTTAACTGGTAAATCTCCAGATTCAGACCGCAGCCAATAGTGGACACGGGTGTTTGAGCCCCTCAGAAGCCGTCACCAAGGGCAAGTGAATGTGCAGCTCATGAGCCGCGCGCCGATGGAGCTGCAGGATGGAGCCGGCCACGGCAGCTCCCGCAGGGCTCCGCGCCCTGCCCAGCACAAGGACAGTCACAAAGGAGGCTGCTCGAGTCGGGGGTTCGGCTCCCCTCTGAGCTCGGCTGCAGCTTCACCCGGCTTTAAAGCGGGAATTATCAACCCTTTTACCTTCCTTAGTCCCATCTGTTTGGTTTGTCAAGTCTCCAGGGCAGGGACTGGGTTTTGTTTGTGTGTAGAGCACCACGCAGAGCAAGGTCCTGCTCTTGGCTGAGGCTGCGAGGCACGACCCAAACACAAAGAAATGACGGGACCTGGATCAAACGCCGACGACTCGGATAAACAACAGAAAAGCAGCTTGGTTTTTTTTTTTTTCCTGCAGTCTCTGCTTTTCCATGACTTGTTTATTCACCTCAAAGCCTCAGCAGACATCTAATCAAGCCGTTAAGAGCCAGATTTGTGGCTGGTCCAACAGGCAGGGAGTCGTTCAATGCTTAAAACCAGGTCTATTCAGCAAACAGCTTCCCTCCCTCCCCCCACTCCAGATAGAGATACATCCCCTTTATTCACTTTAGACCATTTTCCTATTAAAATTGCACCAGGATGCTGCTGGAGTAACCTCTCCACTAAAATGTCCCATTAAGTTTTGGGCAGGGACACCTGACTTTTTTAGGCCCATCTTGTTCGCACTTTTTGGTACTAGTCCAAATCATGCTACAGTTAGACCAAGCAATGATTTCAGCAGGCTTAAGAAGAAGAAAAAATGTGATAGTTTCCAGATGAGTGTGTTATACTAAATTTAACATGCCTTTTGGTACTTAGAATTTCCACTTTTTCCTCTTCCATTTATGTAATTAGAAATCAAGCAGCAGGAAACCATTCCTTAGCCCAGCCTCAGCTGGGAACACGATGGTCTCATTCCCAGGGAGGGAAACGGGAGACTTGTCCTCAACAGGAGGTATTTTGCACCGCTTACACGGACAGGTTCCAAAATAGGCTTTGGATAACAGAATTTTAATTACACCAAAACAATCACAGATGAATGATGCACTAGTTTTGTGCGTGTGTGTGTATACATACGTTATGTGCAGTGCAAAAACAAGGCAGCCGTGAAACCCAGAAACATTCAGTTCTTTCCCCTTTAGAGAAAACAAGAAAATGTGAATTCCCCTTTGTAAAGCTGTGCAAGACCATGTAATGTATTTCCACACTTACACTAGTGAATTTGAGAGTAACGAGCAAGCAAAGTTGTTCCGTCACTTGCAAGGTGGCAGTAAATAACACGCTGTGAACAGGTATTGATTCCCTCTGGGATCGCAGGTCAGGAGGGACCACTTGGACTAAGGACAACCTTTGGTAAGTCCTACCTGGATGGAGGCAGGGCAGAGCAGTGAGGAACAACCCGTGTGATTCTGTAAGTACCAGGGACACCAGGTGACAGGGGCAGCATCACGGTGCCAAAACGCAGGGCACTAATGGGTTTTTCTTGCTGCATCTTGAGGCGGGTATAATCTGAGCGCCACTTTTGCTTCAGTCTCCAGTTTCTTGCCCAGGTCGCTGCTCTTCCCTCCCGCTGGCTTCCTGGGCTGCCAGCATTGCAGCACATCCGCACTGAGCTCCATAAAAACACTTCCCAAACCACAGCGGAGCTCTGGCTCCAAAGTACACAGCTCAGATTGAGAATCAGGGCCAGATAAAATGATTCAAAACGGGAACGAAAGAGATCCTGTTTCCAAGAAGCTGTTTTGACCTGACTGATGAACGCAGCCCGGCAAGGGAGGAGGTGGAAAAACGAGGCCGTGCTCAAGCAGCAGCCCTGGATGGTATCGAGCTCTGCCGGCCTTCAGCGCCGCTCTGGCCTCACAGCTACTCTGCTTCACAAGCTCCACGCTGCCTCCTCGGCTGCTGTGGATCCTGGGCACAGCTCCACGCGCCTCTTCAGGGCAGGATGCAGGCCCCTTGCAGAGGTGCTGGGCTCCGGGAGCAGCGGCGCCAAAGCCCGGGCCCGCTGCTCAACGGGATAAGGAGTTTCTCAAGCTCTCCACACACCAAAGGCTGCCCCCGAGGCCACCCCCTTTCCTGGCAGGGTTCAAAAAACAAACATTGCACAACTTGCTTTTCATTGTCTCCCCTTTCTGCAGAGGAATTTGTTGTCATTCTTCCATCCGCCTGTGCTCACCATGGAGCAGAACAGGCTTTAAATAAGCGCAAGATCAGGACCAACCTTTAATACCCCCTCAGTCTTAGCAGACCTGTATTTGCAGTTTGGGCTACATGAGCAAAACACAGCAAGCACCTTACCTGTAGGGGAAAAGTCCTTAGGAGCCATCTGAAGAGCTACAAAAATGCACCAAGCAAAGCAGCGTTGCAGGAGAGCTCTCGAGTCAGGAGAAAAGCAGAGGGCTACGTGCCAACAAACAACTACAAGGGCTGGGGGAAACCTCAAGTACGAGGGAGTACTTGGATCAGTGACTTGCCGAGGCAAGGAAGAGCTTTAAATATTTGTGACCCGTTCGCAGACTGAAATCTAACCGGTCTCCCACAGAAGAGGGATGAAAAAACAACCACCTGCAGAGGCCGGCGCCAGGCCAGCCAACCTGGGCATGGGCTCCGCGAGCCCTGGTGCCAGGGAAGCTCCAACGCGGCTCCTCCCGCGACTCCAGATTGCCAAGACACCACCAGGCAGCGCAGCGAGGCCCGGGGCTGCCCTCGTCCATCCATTCCGCCTCTTTGGAGCGGACAGCAGCGCAGTTCTGAAGGACAACTGAACAAACAGGACATGGGAGTATTTATACCGTTCTCCAAACACCAGCAGCAGGGTCTAGCGGGTGATTTACGAGGTGGGAGTGCTTCTTTGAACTGCACATTTGATGGGGGTTGCCTTTCAAGAGTGGGGAGGAACATTCGACGGCCGTCTTCGCTGCGGAGCTCTCCCCGAGGCTTTCCCAGGTGGTCACAGCTGCTGGGTATTCAAAATGAAGTCCTCTCCGTGCATTCCCTCGCTCTCGCTCACATACAGAGTCAACACACCAGAAAAGGCCATTTTTGCTTTATTTATTTCCCAGAAGAGCTCTTCCTTGCACTTTCCAGACACAAGTTACAAAACAAAGAACAGACCCTTGTTTCATGTACAGAAACAGTCTGTTGGAGTATAAAGAGTTACTGGTGATCGTTACTGAAGAATGTTGGCTGATTCCAGGGGCACTTCAGTATTCCTGAGGAATAATCATTGATTTTGCCTTCCTTCCCACTGGGATAGTCTTAGCCATTAGTCACTGTTCCTGTAAAGCAAGAAGGCTTATGTTATTAAAAAGCCATTTGGGTTCCTTACATGGAAGGCGCTGCACGATGCAAAGCAGCCTCAGAGCATTTCCAGAACCGGGCTAACGCTTTTGTCCTTGGCTAGAGCCCATTGCTGAGCAGAGGAGCTAAGCTGCTCTTTTCATCAGGAAACACGTGTGTTGTCGTGCACATAAACTCCGCTCTGATGAACTGGGCTCTTCAGGATCCCCTGAAATCACAGCGCTCCCAAAGCTGTTCAGCCTGCACATTCCAACAGAACAACCTCCTCCGAGGGCGCAGGGAAAGGCTCCCACTGATGAGCTTCTCATCCTGCTGCAAAGCACCATCACCCTCACTGCTACTCAAGTCCTGGTGGGCTTTTGCAGTGACAAATACACAATCTAAGTATCTAGCAAGAGATACCTCACGTGCTGTGAGGCAACCAAGGCAACTCAGCTTTCAGGCATGCAGTTTTCAGCCTAAGAGTACTGCTGGATGCAAAATTTAACTCCATTTGACGTTCCGGTGTAATTCATTTAATTAAATGACTCCAAGAGCCCTCAGATTTTTAGCACTACTGAGCAATCACTACTATTCGAGTTTTACTGCATTTTAAGTGGTTCTTGTTCTAGATGAACGGTCTCTTCTACTGGTGCCAGGGCTCCATCATCAATTTAACCCAGAGAACAGGCAGCTTGATGCCAGTTATACCCAGAAAGGGTGCAGAGCCACTTCATAATCTGCTTATTTGGTATCACGAGAATCCTGCAGCCTGTCTCGCCCTCACTTGGGATTCAGAAATAAGATTTTGATTATGAAGCAGCAAGACTCCAGACAAGATAAAGCCCTGGCTTCATAGCCCCCCATCTGCCTCCACAGCAGGCTGAGGTTAGAGGCCAGACAGGGTGTCCTCCTGCAGTCCCTTCCAATGCCAGTTATCCTAGGAGCCTATAAATGTGACAGCTTCAGAAGACTAGAAATAACTTTCATTCAAGTTAATCCATGCTCCATTTCTTTTAATAAAGCTGATCGCTCTTGCAGACTCTTGTTTTGTCAAGTTAATGTGAACAAAACTCCAGTTTTGTAAAGGAAATCCTAAAGAGTTTTGTTACAACAGTATGTGCTAGGAAAAAACAGATGAGCGATAACGCAATATTTTCCTATGCTCCTAACCACCAGAAATGAAATAATTTTGCTGTAATAACCCTGGAGCCATTATCCATGACATTACACTTTGGAGAGAACTAACGACATTAACCATGGGATGGCTTCATCTGCCTCCTGCTCCTCTCGGTGTGTTCAGCCCCTCGGTGTCAGAGAAAGCTGGTGGAGACGGCGCGCTGGAAACTATGCGTGCAGCCCTGTGCCACGCAGGCAGCTGCGCTGCTCTGGGAAGTGTCCCTTCTATTACCTCATGCATCCAAGGACCACCCTTGCTCCGGAGCACACGTCAATCCGTAGCTCCAATAACAACCCCTGCCAGTCTGACCCCAAATTTGACTTGTTCTTGCCCTAGTAAAAGGCAGCTTTCAGAGAAAGCTGTTTTGTCAGGGCATGTTAACAAAGTATTTGCCACACATGAAATTAAACATTTCTCTCTGGCTTACTTGGAGGACCTAAGCTGGAAGAACCCTCAGAACAAAGCAAAAAGCTTGTGTATTTTTCTTATTATAAGATCTGTCCAGAAGAGTCATGCATTGACTCCTAGAATACTGCTAGGACATAGCTGAGAAAGCTGTATCAGCTGGATTCAGGGCCCAGTTGCTCCGTATTTTATTTTGGAGAAGCAGTTCAAGAGTCTTGACGTTTTTTGCAGCTCTTTAGCTGGAGAGACTCTCCTCAAACAGGTATTTCTAGCAAGGCTGCAGAGAGCTGGCAAAAGCCCATCTGCCAATAAATCTAAAGGCAACGTAACTTAGCTTTCACCTCTCGATGCATCCAGAGATAAAAAATATCTTTAGGCCTCTCATCTTGCAAAGAGATACACGATCAATTTTTGCTTTCTCTTCGCTTGCCATGAGAAGCTTCTGGCAGAAGGTTTTTACTTCAGCACTTTCTTAAGTAATAAATTAGCTGTAAATACGTCCTGGTGGATGTCTCTCCAGTGACACTTAAATGCTTTTAGCAGAATACGTGGCTGCTCAAGTTCAACACCCCATTTTTCTACATGCTGCAGCAACTAACATAGCACAAGAACGGCTGCAATTTCTACATGTGAAGAAACAGAGAATATTTATGGAGTTCACTGGTAGACTTAGTGCTCTGTGTAATTACAGGTAGTTTGTAAGCATGCAGACAGTTCCTTCTAAACAATCTATTTAAATATTTAATCTCAGCATCAGTTATAACAGAATTTGTTTAAATTCTCCTCTCCAATACTTTTAGAAGTGTACAGCTTCTTTGGAATATTACACGAGTATCCAGCTAAACAAGCCACTTAAACTGAAGAATGATTAGAGTTTTCATGTTGCAAGAAAACCCACAAGATTAAACCTTGCTTCTACAAGCAGATCCACTGAAACACATGCCTGACAGGGCTCTCAATTTCTTCCTGGCTCATCTCTTTCCAAAACTGAAGGCAGAATGTTATTCTTATTTTAGCTTTTCTAATATATATTTTATTAGACATGTTTACGAGTTGTGGGAAAATCTACCCGCAGGATCTGCTAAGATATTTTGAATATTTGGTGCAGAGGATTATCTTAAGAGCAGGGGAAGACGAGTTTCCTCTAATTGGCACTTGGGCAAAAGAGACAGGAATACGTCCCTAAACGGTGTGCAGATGCACCATCTAATGCTAGCAATTAGTTACTAATTAGCTGTAACTAGTACTGGTACTTACTTTTACATATTTGCCATGGAGAAGATATGGAGACTGGAAATCATGTTGACAGTTGGAATAAGCCATTCCTATCCCCATCCCTGACCCAAAAGCAATAGGCCATGTCTTTCCTGTGGGAAAGATAAGCAGAGGGGAAAAAGATAAACTCTCTTCATTTCATGTTACATTGATAGACTTACCAAACAAATGCCTAGAAGAAATCAATGGCTGTGAAGACGCACATTAAGCATTTAAATTCTTCAAACTCTAACGTGTAAAAACAAGCAAACAACATTCTGCAAAAACAAAAATCCACCCCAGAAAAACAAGAGTAAACAATAATATATCCAAGGAACAAACTCTGAACTCAAGATATTAATGAAAACTCTGTTAGCAAAGCTTAATCAATAAAGGAGGAACAGAGATTAGCTTTATGAGCCCAGCAATACTGGCATGACACATGGATCCAGTAACTGGCTAAGGGTTTTGTGCAACTCCAAAACTTGACCTGACCACAGCAGGAGTTCAGAGACACCCATACAACCCCTTAACACAACGGCCAGAAGTTAGGATACCTGCATTTCAACTGAAGAGAAACGAGCAATAGTGAAGGGGCTGCTACAACACACCAGTTACATCTCACCTGTCTCCAAGAAGTCTTGGCTTTGAAGAGAACCCACAACAAAGCAGTTAGAAAACCAGGCAGTCAAGGTTAATTACTCACTTTTGAAGAATATGACTGAGAAAACAATTCCTAATCCGAATCCAGCACCTGCAAGAAGAAACACAGCAAGTAAGGATTAAGATAATGCAAAGGAACTTAAAAGAATTTAGTAATGTTCATTAATGCCTTGTTCTGACAAATACCACCAAAACAGATGGCATTTCAGCACACCAAAATAATATTCTTAAAAATAAGAATTACTTTTTGAATACTTTTATTTCCTTAAGCAGCTAATTCAGATGTGAATCCCCATCCATTCAAGATCATTATAACTGGCAAGATTTGGGAAGACAATTAAACCCTCATCACAGGGAAAGTTACTGAATTTGTCATCAATAACAATGTGGAAACACGATTTATTTGGCTTATTGTCAATAAATGAGAAACACTCAAATGAAAACTTATCGTGTCCTTGAGCTTTGCATTTTGCAGATGAATATCTTAGTGTATTTCATTTATCTCACTACTTTAACTACTTCAATGTGTGTCCGGAGGGCAGCAAAACTTTGAAGCTTTGTGTTACCCTATACCTTGCAAAAGAAAGCTCTGGGCTGCTTATCTGTCACATCCACAGCGTTCATCATGGAGCATATTTAAACACACTAGGAATGAATGACTTTTCACATCCTTGTACTATATATAGACATAATTGCAGCAGTGCAAAAATCTATCCAGCACCATTAAAGAACTTAGTTGGCAGATTTCAAAGTAATTTTTGCTTTCCTTGGAAGGTGCACTCATGATTTCTTGTAAGAACTCGGGCAAGTTGGCAAAATTCTTCTCGAAACCCAATAAATAACAGTGAAAGAAAATTTGAGTTTAAGGCATAAATTCTACCTTTAGTCATATCCACTAAAGACAACCTTAAAAAAGCCATACCTATGCTCCCTAAAAACATTAACAGTTTCAGGTTTATTTTGGAGGAGGGGAGGAAATCCTGTTATGGGCTTGAATTCTCTCATTTCAATGCATGAAATCTAATTGACACATACTGAGTTTTACTAAAATATTTATTTTTGAATGAGTCCTAAAACCATGTGACCCCTTTTTTAAGCTCCTGATGAAGGCATTATTATGTGAGTCAAATCCAGAACAATGCCAAAGAATCCTATGCCCTCTTGGCATATGGGAATAATTTTAAGTTTCCTTTTGCTCTTTAAACCCTGTTTTTTCCTCCTCCCTCTCCTTACAAAGAGTAAACTAAAGGTAGCTCCAGTTGAAACACAGATTACTGAAACAACACTCACTGTAGTAGCTAGTAAATGAAGCACCTTATGCTTTTCCAAAGCCTTTCACTATTAGGACAGAGATGAACGGTTAAACAAAGCCAACCTTCTCCAGTTGACTTTGCAATCTATATTTACCGAGAACTGGGGAGCAGAGGTGCTCTCGCAAACTCTCCTCATTTTATTGCACATTTTCATTAGATCAAATGGCAATAAAGGTAACTGCTTTACCAGGCCAGGGCAGCTCTGGAGGAGCCTACAAACGTGGAATGGCAGGGAAGAGCTCCAAGCACCAGTCCCATGTCCCGCCAGCTCCGCGGACACCCCGGGAAGGGAGCGCTCCGCGGCAGGCTGGCCATTCGCTGCCACCATTCGCACAATTCAGGAGCGCCTCCGTTCTCCACATGAGCTCCAGGTCTCCCCAGCCCTTCGGAAAGGGACACAGTACTAAGAGAAACCTTCATAAACTCGCTCTCCTCCTGCAGCACAGCCCAGCACTCCCCCAGCTCCAAGGGGGAGAGAGGTGGATTGCTAAGAGCAGCCCTTCATCCACACCAAAGCCTCATTCCCCCTCCCCAAGCAGGGCCCTCTTTCTGCACCTTTGCTACAGTGCAGCTGCTGCTGGCTCCAGCCCAATGTTTATGCTATTAAGGCTAATTACTATCTTCAAGAATTCATCCAACAGACAACTGTTTGGCCCTCTGACCCGGTTCTCTCCAGCAACCCTCCACAATATGTGGTTATGCTGCCCTTTTGCTTTGGCTTGTTGTATTCCAGGTCCAAATAGGACTTTTGGAGGGAATTACTCGGCGTTCAGACGGCACTGGGCGTTGTTTGGACCGCGTGGCTGGTCACGCAGGGACTGATCCTGGTCTGCGCTTCCTTCCAGGGAGCGATCCCCTCTGCCAAGGCAAACAGCTTAGCTAATCAATGAGAAATGATTTACAGGATGACGAGCTGGGCCTCATCCAGCTGCAGGACCCAAGCAACTGCTCATGTCGCCACATTTTCCATGTTACCAGGCAAAGCCAGGGTGGTGGCGGCTGGTTGTTTTTTGGTCTTGAAAAAAAGGTTGTGCTAAGGAAGCTACTATAGTTAAGCTAGTTGCTATCTTGCTGTCTACATCTGGAAAACATTATTTTGGACCTAAAAGAAGGGTCTTCCCCCACATTAAGGCCCAGCACCACTGCTGAGTATGGTCTTGCACGACTAACAGACACATTTTTTCTTAATACGTCTTTGCTTAAGTACAGCAGCGTCTATAGGTGACTGTGCTGCTCCAATTATTTGGGGTTGCAGACAATTAAAAACCTCCTCAGAAGTTATAATTCTCTTCTAGAAAAACATTTTTTATTTTTAATTGCTTCCCACAAGCAAAAATCTCCGTGTCAGTTTTAAGGGCCATCACCCCACTCTACTCCAACAGCAGGGGAGTGGGGAGGCAGATTATGTGAGAGAAAGGACGGCAGCAGATCTGGGTCCTTCTTCTAAGTTAACAAAAAGCTATGGGGAAATAAAAGAGCAGATCTGACAGCAAATTTTTTGTTTGTTTTCTATACAGGCTCATCCAGGCCAGTGCAGGGATATTTGCCCTTTCTAATGTGGCTTGAAGAGTTGTTTTGGTTTTAACTTTAAACCAGCAGCCTTAGCTCCTTGTAATTTCTTACCCTGCCTGGTTAAAAAACTCTTTCTGTGGATAGGTTGTCACTCATCTTTGTTCCACCAGGAATTATTTGAGGTTTGTGTGGTCATTTCCTGCATCTCCAAGACAAAAGAGGAGCTAAACTATTTTTTCTTGGAAACAAAATAATGCCTTTCTCTTTAGTTCTATATAAAATTACACAAGAGATAAACAAGGGCAGAGTCACTGATGAGTTTTACAGGTTTAAGTTCTCACATGCTCAATTTCCTTTTAAAGAGGCAACATGTTGCTTCAAAGAGCCTCCCACCCGACCAGGGGACACTCAGTCTGCAGCTGTTTCCACTAAAGAGCAGCACCTCTAGGCCAGGCTTTAACTTCATAACAATAAAACATGAAAGGTTTATCTTACAATAAAAACAAACGAACATGGAAAAGCTAAGGGCTTGATCCATGCTGGGCACAGGCTCCCTCCCTTGCTCGCATGACAGACTGGGGGAAAAGGCCACAGGAAAGAGTACGACACATTTTTCACCTTCTCGTGACAGCTTAAAATGCTTAACTGGAAAAACAGCCTCTTCCATCCCACCTCTATCAACTCGGTCTAAACTCATCTACAGGCAGTGTCACCGGGGGACAACAGGGGTGTTTTGTGGACGTGTTGCTTGCTCTCCCCAATGAGCTTTTCTGGCCGCTTATGCGCTAAGAGAGGCAGGAGGAATTGGCATTAGGCAGAGCACCCATCACTTCACATTTTCTCTTTTGGCCTTTCTGGCTCCTACACCTGAGAAAAACGGCAGGGTACCTCCAACCAATCTCCCATACAGACGAGCACGTGCCATATACCCTACAGGACATCATAAAAGTGTCTCAAGGAGAAACACAAATCTTCAGCAGGGACTCCTGCCTCAGCAGAACATCTGGGAAATGCTTTTTTTCCCTCCTATAAATTTAATCAACAGCCTCTCCGACAGCGATACTGCATGATTCCTCCCTGGGCTTCCCAAGCAGCTACAGGCTGCAGCTGTTGGGATGGCCACACCTAGGCAGACTTGTCTGCAGCAGCTTGAAACTCAAGATACAAAGATTAGAATATGCTCCCTGGCACTGGGCAGAGGTGTTGCTGTTACTAAAGCAGCTGGAAACCTTCCAATTCCTTCCCGTCTTTCTGTCGACAGCTCTCCTCACCCATCCACTATGCACAAATACAAGGCAACTTGAGCCGCCTCTCCTTCTATATTCTGGTATTTTACACTTAAATAATGACTAGAATAAAATGAAGTAGCAGCTCATGGAAGATGCAGCCTTAATCTAAAAGCAGCAACACTGTACAGACTAGACTCTGAAAGAGGATTTTAGCAACCTACTCCCTGAGTACTTAGGAGAGAAGCAGTTTCTTCTCACCTAGAAAGTCAGTTTGCATTAGCAGCAAGAAGTCCTGCAATAGCTCTGTTATTTAGCTTGACTTTTGGGACAGCAAAAGCAGCATTATCGAGGTGCAACAGCAGTTCTCATCCAAAAGCCTGATACGCTGCAGATTTCAGGCAAGCATCCGCTCAGTACAGCTCTAGAACTTCTTTTAACATAAAAAAAAATGAAAAGATCCTAAAAACAAACAAAAAATCAACTGATTTTCAAACTATCCACTCACTCTGAGACCATCAACCACTTATTTGCTGAACTAATTTTAAGCAGGCTCTTCACGATGTCTTTTGTGGCAGGCATCAGATTTTCTTCAAATAGCAGCTTTGAAGCTTGCTTTCTCATCTCCCCTGTTGGGAGGCTTGTTTACATAGCAGAAAGAAAAATGAGCTAGGACACTAGAAGAAACCACAGTGAAACTATGCACCAAGTAATCTAGGAAGGAATAGGGGGGAAAAAAAGTGTTTTGTTCTTGCATTTGACTGCAGCAACACGGAGTACTTGGAATGGGAAAATAAAAGTATCAAAATTCTATTATAGTGTAAAAAAACTGGTGTGCTTTCAGAGGGCACTTTCTCTCCCAAGCACCCCTGCAGTTCAACCACTATCCAAAGGCCAAGCTTGGATAAACATCAGGACCTTCCCACATGGACACCCAGCAGCTGGAGGTATCGCCTGTGATCTCTCAAGCGGGCACAGCAATAAGAATCCTGCAGCCCAGATAGGAATGGTTCATAGAGCTGGATGAACTGGTGAGACAAGAGGGCACGTGTTATTTCCTCCCGCTTTTAAAGGGGAAGGGAAAGGAAAGCTGCTTCCAAAGGAAGCAGGCCAGCACATAAATACACCAGACCAGCAAGATACTCATCATACGGACAATACAATTCTACCTTGTCTTACTGTAATGAAATGACACCACTGGTGACAACAAGAATACTGCAAAAATAAAAATTTGGCTGGAATAAACACGCACCCATTTAGGGCTTTTGCAAGCACAGCTAGAAGGGGTGGCGATCATGTTTCTCCATCCTCATCCGATGTAGGTTGACCATTACTGATGTCTACCAGCCCTGCTAAGAAACAGGGACCCTTGAGAGTTTTACAAGGGCATCTCACTAGCAGAAACGTCATGGGGCGGGGGGGAGGGAGAAAAAACTCAATTTTTGCTATCATTTTACCACCAGCAAGGACTCGCCAGCAGCACTTAGGTCCCTCAATTTTCTCACCTAAATTCCATGCTTCAAAGACCAAGGAGGTGGGAAGTGTTCCTGCCTAGTGTTGTCCAGTCTTATGGACCAAAAAAATGAACCAAGTCCTCTTGCCCTGGACAGGGTCACCACGTACCAACTTGTAAAGTCCTTCCCCAGAACAGTAAAGCTGCTTTCTAGAAGATGAGCTTGAAAATTCAAAGCAAAAGTCTCCTTTAAGAACATCAGGAACAGAGTTACATTCATAGAGGGTCCCACCACAAGAAAAGGCTCTCTTTTGAAAAACGAGTCACATAATATTTAGGTGGGCAATATACTCTGAGTTCTGCTAATAACGTAATTAAACATTCCTGTTAAACCTTTAAAGCCTATTCTGCAAATGGTGCTTGCCCAGCTCTCCAGAACAAGCCCTGTTTGTTGGCTGTGTTGCCTCCCATACAACCCAAACGAGCCATTAGCAATTAGCACTCATACTAATTATCCACTACAAAATACAGTTAGAGTTGGATGCTCTCTTGCATGATATAGGAAAATAATTTAGAATTATAAGAAAAGTCCAAATACGAATGCACTTTTGTGCTTGTGTAACATTCATGTCCTCCCATTATTCAAAACAAAATCCCAAATCAAGTCTGTCTCCATAGCTTAACCACATTATGATAGGCAAAAAAACACTTTAGAACAGGAATCTCTGCATTTTTATATATTTAGAAAATGTCTAACCCAGTTTTCTCGAAGTGCAATCAACTTCTATCATTATATACGCTGACTTTATCCTACTCATAACCATGCAAAGCATTATTTAAAAATACTGACGCTGAAATCCATACAATGGATCTTTCTGAAAAATTCAGTCTGTGGACTGACACAAACAATCCATGCTCACCCTTGCCACTAACAAAACAGCTATTCAAGCAGGCAAGAGAATTCAAGCCAAAGGAAATCACACAAAAGCGGTAGTAGAACTTAAAGTGACCTTTCTCTTAAATAAAGTTCCTATTAGAGGGGAATCGGGAGAGTTTTATTTTCAGATGTCAAAACAGGATTAGAGAAAAATGGACATTACCCCAGTGAGTTATTTACAAACTTTCAGGATGAATTTTGGTCAGACATAGGCATGTATCAAAACATTTGCACCTCCAGCAAGTAAACTTCAACCAGGCAACTTAACATACGAACTGGGAAGCAGGGAGCTTTCCCAGAACTACCTGTTAGCAGCAGGCATACTTGAATTTAAGTCATTTAAAAGTATAAGTTACATGAAGCAAGGAAACTTTCTGATGAGGAAGAAAATCAGTCTCAGGAGAAGAGACAGAATGGAAAGTTGGATTACACTGGTGACTATCCAACTGAAACGCATTTGAAAACCGCGCACAGCTGGAGTCAGTGTAGTCATGATCACCAAGAAACACCTTGGTCAGCCAGAAAGGCACAGACTAACTGACCACACACAAAACCTTCCCACCCTGTGGTTGCAACTCAGTTTAGAAAGGGAAGGGGAAGAAAAAATAATCTGATCTACCCAGACACATTAACAAAACCAATAAATAAACTATGTCAGCCCTAATAAAAGGAGGTTAGCACCTAAGCTGCATATAATGTTTCAAAGTCTTGCGCAGCAATACCTAAAGGCTTACAGTATCAACTGCTCTTTTAAATTAAATACTGTCTTATCAAGACTTGACAATTTTCTAGTTTTAATTTTTCCCTGCTAACTTCCAAAAAAGTTTTAATATGAACTTACATGACAAGCACGGGGAATGAGCAAGACGACAAACATAATATTGCCCTTCCATCCTTCAACTAAATTCACAGGCGTTATCTGCGTTTCCAGCTTCAACAGACACCAGGGAACCATCTCGCACGCTGGGCTTCAGAAATTCTGTGCCTGCCTTTACTTACAAATGCAAGACCATTCACAAGGCTTCTCTTGCCCAGCCACTGGTTGGGAATAAATCCCTTGTGATTGTGCTCAGGAAGGATGTAAAGGAACATGCAGGAAGGAAACTACAGCTACCCAAAGAGCAACAAAAAGCTACTGGGATTTCAGTTAACTTTTGTATCCCACATAAGAAGTGGCAGAAGTCCCAAATAAAGCATTTTGTTCATTTTCATTCTCTACAACTGTTCTTGTTTATCAGAGACTCCAAACATCAGAGCAATATTATGGGGAGAATCACCACAACCACACAAGTATTTAAAGACAAAGATAATAACTATCTCCATGGAGATGCTCTGAGAAAGTGAGAAATCTAACAGTGCCCACATCTAGGTCACCAACTCATTCCACACTTACGGGCCATCATCATCTTTGATCACTAACTGCTGGGGCAGAAGCAACTCTAGGTCTCTTGCAACTTTCAAAGTTCCCAGTCAATCCTTTTGTTTGTCTCTTTGTCCCGTGATGTAGGTTACTGGGTGGGAGGACAAAACAGAAAACACTCTCACATAAAGAGAAACGTGTGTCTGAGCACATCACACCAGCTCCAGCACTACAGTTCCCAAATTAAGGACTGCAGCCCAACGTGCCCTTTTGATGGAGCCTAGTGAAAAACATGAATTTTACTGAGATCTCCATTCAATGCCTCTAGTCACCACGAAGCCAACAATTTAAATTCTTGGTCTAGAATTTCAGTGCAGGAAAGCCTAATCACACTTTCTTTCATTCATGACCACTGCAAGATGGGAAGGAACCCTGCATGGAACGGAACAGCCTGCTGGGGTGACACGGAGGCTCATAACAGAGTCTGAAGCCATTTCTTTTGACCTCCTGGAGAGGCTTTCCATGTACAAGATTCCTCCACGAACAGCTGCAGCACAGACCAAGTTTGAGTTTACAATTTGGCATAATTAATTTTTTATGATAAAGCAAGCAATGCTACAGAAACATAAACACACCCAGACATGTTTGTCAGACAAACCTGAATAGAATTTCATAAGGCAAAACACTGCTCCGGAGCACTTGACACTTTTCAAAGGCCTGGTATAAACAATGGAAGCTTCAGTTTACTCCAAATAATTAAACATCTTTTCTAATGGAAAAGTATTAAGCAACCAAAACACAGAGATCCTCATGAGCTTGGAAAAGCATTATGCAGCCAAACACAGAGTTCCTACCCAGCTTTCAAGCAAAAGACCACTGCAGCAAGGCATAAACATTCACATTTTTAAGGTATTATTTATGGCTTTAGGAAAAAATCCAGCTCCAACATGCAATGCCTTTCACCTCAGATATTCTGCTGCTTGCTTTATGCAGTGTATTTAAAGATCTGTGCAGGGCAAACACATTCTGTAAATCCACAACTTCCCGCTTAGGGAAGTAACCTGTCTTGGCAAGGCAGTGCCACTGCAAGAACAGTGAAGTACATATGTGTAATGGCAGTCGCTCTTATCAGCTTTAATAAAGTTTTATGTATAGCTTATCATAAACCAAAGATACTGATCTCAGAAACACAGGCATGCTCCTAACTTTACAGACACAAAACTACAGGAAAATAAACGTATATAGAGAAATGCACTAACGGGACGTTCATGGTGCAGCCCGTAAGGGCCTGCAGGGCTGCCCCCGGGGACGCGCTTCAATGT